CTTGCTGCTATGGTAGGTGGAGGGGAGCGTCCAGTGTTCAGCAGAAAGAGGCTGCTCTGGCAGAGGCTCACCAGGTGGCAACAGTGGATCCATCTTTAGTTAAGTTCTTACCTGACTGGATTTTGGATTTCCTTTCGACGTGTGATTCCCGGCCTGCTAGCCCCAGGCATGCTAGCCCCCTGCCTCCCAACTCCCAACCTGACACCATACATCTCGGTGTGTTCCGTCTGGAGTCAACCCCTGCTTCTTCCCCATTTCCTGCTCCTGTCCAGGAGCCGTTCTCGGGCACTCGTCTGGCTTTTGGAGGTCCACGGAGCCTCCAAAAGGCTCCTAAGAGAAGGAGTCGCAAGTCCAGGCTAGCAGCCCGAGCCCCAGAAGCCATGCTTTGGGCTCCAGAACCGGCCCACACAGCCATGGTTCCGGCTCCAGAACCGGCCCACACAGCCATGGTTCCAGCCCCAGTTCTGGCCCCAGCAGCCATGGTTCCAGCCCCAGTTCTGGCCCCAGCAGCCATGGTTCCGGCTCCAGAACCGGCCCACACAGCCATGGTTCCGGCTCCAGAACCGGCCCACACAGCCATGGTTCCAGCCCCAGTTCTGGCCCCAGCAGCCATGGTTCCGGCCTCTGTTCCGGTCCAGCACGCCATTTCTCATCAGGGAAATCTTCTGGGCCAACATGAGCAGATGATGCGAGCCTTAGTTGAAAGCAATCAGTCCATGGCTCTACACATCTCAAACCTTGCTGCTCAGGTCTCAACTCTGACGTCTTCTGCTGCATTTCCTGCCTCCTCCAATCCACCTGTGGATTCCACTCCAGCCCCTCGTGTCCTGTCGGTGGTCCGGCCGACTCCAGCACCTCGTCTCCTGTTGGCTCTCCGGCCGACGCCAACCCCATGTCCTGTCCTGTTGGGGGTCCCGCCGACACCTGCTCCGCCGGGTTTCCTGCCTACACCATATCCTGTCCTGTTGGGGGTCCCGCCGACACCTGTCCCACCGACACCTGTCCCGCCGGGGGTCCTGCCAACTCTGTGTCTTGTTCCGTTGGGGGTCCCGCCGACTACTCTCCTGCCGGGGGTCTTGCCAATCCTATGTCCTGTCCCATTGGGGGTCCCGCCGACTACTCTTCTGCCGGGGGTCCTGCCAACCCTATGTCCTGTGCCGTTGGAGGTCCCGCCGACTACTCTTCTGCCGGGGGTCTTGCCAATCCTATGTCCTGTCCCATTGGGGGTCCCGCCGACTACTCTTCTGCCGGGGGTCCTGCCAATCCTATGTCCTGTCCCATTGGGGGTCCCGCCGACTACTCTTCTGCCGGGGGTCCTGCCAACTCCATGTCCTGTGCTGTTGGAGGTCCCGCCGACTACTCTCCTGCCGGGGGTCTTGCCAACCCCATGTCCTGTCCTGTTGGGGGTCCCGCCGACTACTCTCCTGCCGGGGGTCTTGCCAACTCCATGTCCTGTCCCATTGGGGGTCCCGCCAACTACTCTCCTGCCGGGGGTCTTGCCAACTCCATGTCCTGTCCCATTGGGGGTCCCGCCGACTACTCTCCTGCCGGGGGTCTTGCCAACTCCATGTCCTGTCCCATTGGGGGTCCCGCCGACTACTCTTCTGCCGGGGGTCCTGCCAACCCTATTTCCTGTGTCGTTGGAGGTCCCGCCGACTACTCTTCTGCCGGGGGTCTTGCCAATCCTATGTCCTGTTCCGTTGGGGGTCCCGCCGACTACTCTCCTGCCGGGGGTCTTGCCAACTCCATGTCCTGTCCCATTGGAGGTCCCGCCGACTACTCTTCTGCCGGGGGTCTTGCCAATCCTATGTCCTGTTCCGTTGGGGGTCCCGCCGACTACTCTCCTGCCGGGGGTCTTGCCAACCCCATGTCCTGTCCTGTTGGGGGTCCCGCCGACACCTGCTCCGCCGGATTTCCTGCCAACACCAGATCCTGTCCTGTTGGGGGTCCCGCCGACACCTGTCCCGCCGGGGGTCCTGCCAACTCTGTGTCCTGTTCCGTTGGGGATCCAGTCGACACCAGCCCTTGCTCCATCCGGGGTCCCATTGACACCAGCCCATGTCATGTTCCGGATCCCGTCTACGCCTGTCCCGTCGGCTCCGGTTCCTGTCCGGCCGATACTGGGTCTTGCCCGGCCTCCGGAGTTGTCCCGTCGGCGCCTTCCTGCCCGGCCTCCGGAGCTGTCCCGTCGGCGCCTTCCTGCCCGGCCTCCGGAGCTGTCCCGTCGGCGTCTTCCTGCTCGTCCTCCGGGGTTGTCCCGTCAGCACCTTCCTGCCCGGCCTCCGGAGCTGTCCCGTCAGCGCCTTCCTGCCCGTCCTCCGGAGCTGTCCCGTCGACGCCTTCTTGTTCACCCTCGAGCCCGGCCCCCTGAGTGCCGCGGTCTTCGCCCTCGAGCCCGGCCTCCTGAGTTCCCCAGCCGTGGTCTTCGCCCTCGAGCCCGGCCCCCTGACTCTTCCAGCCACTGCCTTCGCTCTCATGCCCGGGCCCCTGAGTTCGCCCGCTGTGGCCTTCGCCCCTTTTTGGACTCTGCCTTGCCCACGGGCCGTCCGCCCGGGACCCCTTCTGGGCCCGTCCTCCGGACCCCCTCCACCCACCCTTTTGGTCCTGGTTGTGCGTCCCTCCTCCGGGCCCCCTCCGCCCACCCTTCTAGAGGTTTTGGACTTTTTGGGGCTTTTTTGGGACGTCTGGGATCCGTCCCTTGAGGGGGGGGTAATGTCACGATCTGTCTGTGTTGTGTTTTGTCTTGTCTTTTTCTGTCTTTGGTTTCCTGTTTTGTTTTGAAAAGTGTTCACCCCCATCTTGCCTGTTGCTTCCTGTCTCTGTGTTCCCTCCTGCCTGATTGCCCGATTGTGTTCACCTGGTGCCCCTGTGTTTTCTCCTCCCTCCTCACCTGTGTCTTGTTTGTGTGATTGGTCTTGTGTGTATTTTAGTTCTGGTTTTTCTGTCTGTCATTGTTGGTTCCTTGTTTGTCTTTGACTGTGTCACAGGGTAGTGTTCTGTTGTCTACTTTGTTACCTTGGATTAAAGGAATTATCTTGGGAATCTGCATTTGGGTCGTGCCTGCTTCACTCAACCCTGACACTATCCTTGTGTGTGTCTCCCGCTCTCATCAGCGTCAGCCCCGCCCCTGATTGTTTCCACCTGTGCCAGTTACCTTTTGTTTAAATTCCCCAGCCTTCCCTTGTCTTGTGTCAGTTTGTCTTGTCCTGTCTCCATGCCAGTAGTCTGCGTACCAGCGATCACTTATTTTGTCTCAAGCCTGATTCATGCTCCTGAATTACTTTGTAAGTTTTGTTCCTACCTTAGTGAGCGATTTTCTTTGTGCCTTTTTTGAGCCCTTTTTTCAACTCGTTAAGAGTGTCGACCTTTTTTTGTAAACCTATTTGGAATAAAGTATTTTACTCATACTTTACCTCTGTCTCCCGGGTCGTGCATTTGAGTCCTTTACCTTGTGTTTCCAAGTTCGTGACACAATAGGCACGCAATGACTCTAAATAATAATGATCACGCCACCAAACACAGATGAGAACTAAAGTAACCAGCCTGTTTTGGAAATGTAAGAAGTAGAAAGTACAGGTATTTGTGTAAAAAATGTAAGAAGTAAAAGTCCACAAAGTAACTAAAGCTATTCAATAAATGTAATGGAGGAAAAGTACACCTTATACCTCCTAACTGTAGTCGAGTAGAACTACAAAGCAGAACAAATGTAAATACTCATGTGAAGTACCTCAAAAGTGTGCTTAAATACTTGACTGAATGTACTTAGTTACTTTACACCACTGCCTGAGGGAAAGGCGTGACAAACACAACTAGAAAATGCATTTCCTGCAGAAAATGCGTGCGAATGCTGTAAACTGTGAACATTTGTGGCTGAATTTAGCTGAACATGCAGAAAAAGCTGAATATGTTATTAGCTGAATGGTAGCTGCTTTTAGCACTGTTCAATGTTTCTTGAAAACATTACCCACTGTAGTATGTGACGTGTGAATAAACTCCCAACTCTGTATCAACAACACTGTTGTGTAACTTCAGTTAAATACTTGTATGTGTGTAGATTAGAAAGAGGTAAGATAAAGGATCTGCAGTATTTTATGAAGTATTAATCGTACAAAGGTCAGTTTTATACAAGAAGAAGTGTGTATTTACCTGGTAGTAGGCTGTCAGTAATGGCTAAGCCTCTCTATTTGGACCGGTAGATCTCGGCAGACTGGCAACTTTAAAAGTAGCTCTCGGTTCAAAAACGGTTGGGCACCCCTGCTCTAGCTGAAAGTATGTGGAAGGAGAAGCATTTGGCGCAAGGTGTAGTTAAAAGAGGATTAGAAGGTTCCTCCCATTGACTTCCATGTTAAAAAAAAGAGTTTAAAAAACTGAATATTTCAAAAAGTATGAAATATTTTGAAAAAGTTGAAAGTTTCCCATCGATTGCTGAACAGGCTGAATAGTTTGATATTTGAATGGTTTCTGTAGCTGAAGGTATGCTGAAGTTATGGAGAGCCAAAGTATTGGTGAAATAATAAGGGGAAGAACTAGAAAATGCATGCGAATGCTGTAAACTGTGAACATTTGTGGCTAAATTTAGCTGAAAATGCAGAAAAAGCTGAATATTTTATTAGCTGAATGGTAGCTGCTTTTAGCTACAAACACCAAGTAAGTGTGTTGCTGAACTTCGCGGAGAAATGCAGAAAAGTGAAATGATTTGAATCAAATTGTTACAGCTCAAATGCATTGCAATGACTTCCATGTTAAAAAAAGACTTTAAAAAGCTGAATCTTTTAAAAAGTATAACATATTTTGAAAAAGTTGAAGTTTCCCATCATGTGCTGAAAAGGCTGAATAGTTTGATATTTGAATGGTTTCTGTAGCTGAAAGTAAGCTGAAGTTATGGAGAGCCAAAGTATTGGCTGAAATAAGAAGAATAAAGATTTGAAGAAGTATAGTGGAATGCTATAAATAGCATTCGCACTAAATATCAGAGAGAAATTCAACGAGATAACAAATACCTCCACCACTAGACTGAGGGTCACGTGGTACGGTGTGTTGAAGACCAAGGTGGGGTTACAGAGGACCTTCTTTGAGAAGACAGACAGAGTCTGAGTGATGAGGATGATGATGATGTCAGTGAAGGCAGGGATGAAGGACACGAGCCAGATGAGAGCGATGAGGAGGTGGGCTCTCTGCACCGTGCAGATCTGGACGTGATGAAGAGGAAGACACACGGCGATGTAACGCTCCAACGCCATGCCAGCCAGATTCAAAGGGCTGATCCTGGAGAGAGAAACACACACACACACACACACACACACACACACACACACACACACACACACAGACACACACACACACACACACACACACACACACACACACATACACACACACACACACACACACACACACACACACACACACACACACACACAGACACACACACACACACACACACACACACACACACACACACACACACATACACACACACACACACACACACACCACACACACACACACACACACACACACACAATCTGAGTACTTCTACCTTTACTAAAGTACAAGATCTGAGTACTTATCCTTCCTCTGAAAGACACTCTTACTCTAAATATACAGATCTGACTACTTCTACTGCACACACACACACACACACACACACACACACACACACACACACACACAGACAGACAGACAGACACACACACACACACACACCACACACACACACACACACACACACACAATCTGAGTACTTCTACCTTTACTAAAGTACAAGATCTGAGTACTTATCCTACCTCTGAAAGACACTCTTACTCTAAATATACAGATCTGACTACTTCTACTGCACACACACACACACACACACACACACACACACACACACACACACACACACACACACACACACACACACACACACACACACACACACACACACACACACACACACACACACACACACACACACTTTGAGCTGTTAAATCCCAACTAGAATCTGCAGAGTTCATAACCCCCAGCTGAACAAACAAAGCACTCCACTACATTGTTGTGATACCTTTAATTACCTTACAGATTTGGATAACATTTTGAATGCAGGACTTTTACTGTAACAGAGTATTTCTACACTCTGGTACTTCTACTTTTGCTCAAGTACAAGATCTGAGTGCTTCTACTTTTACTCAAGTACAATATTTGAGTACTTCTACTTTTACTCAAGTACAAGATCTGAGTACTTCCCACCTCTGAAAGACACTCTTACTCTAAATATACACCAGAGGAGTAATGATGTAACATACCACCTATAATGTGATACCCTCGATTCTAGCTCAGCTTTACAAGTCTATTTGAGGGGAAAGCCCTGGAATGGTTCAGGTCATATCTGAAGGACAGAACTTTCTCTGTCAGCCTTGGAGACTCCGAGTCATCCTCTGCTCCACTCCTGTATGGGGTCCCACAGGGCTCAGTAGTAGGCCCCCTGCTATTTTCCCTCTATTTGCTCCCTCTTGGGAGCTGTGCACCTTTATGGTGTAAATATAACCTATCTTCCAATTGGATCAAATATAAAAGTCAGACGAATTAATTAGTATTGATACTGCAAGGAGACGTATTGTGTGAAAAGAAATGTAAGATGTTGTTTAATTTTACCCACTGCGGAGATTATAGAGGGCCCAAAAAACACTTTTCTGGAAACTGAATCCAACTTAAATCTGAATTCTCTACTCTCATGGATCACTGTGACTAAAAAGACAAGTGATAATGGCTGCACAATTAATATATATGTTATGCACTATATGGACAAGTGCAATACTCAAATCTCAGGATGCAAAATATTTGTAAAAGGCCAAATATGTTTTAAAATAATAACAATAATAATACAAATACATGTTATTTATATAGCGCTTTTCCTGGTGCTCAAAGTGCTTTACAAGCAACATACAAATACAAAGTTTAACGAAGAACCTTGGAGCTGCAGAGATATCAGAGCCATTCATATCCTGCAGAAATGATCAATCCCTCCAATTATTGTGAATAATATCGCAGTTGCAATATCAGTCAAATAATCGCAGGTAGTTATTTTTTCCTAATTGTGCAGCTCACGTTTTTATCATTTAATATTTCTTGTTTTAGGGCGACAACCTTTCCATATGTTAAAAGGACATTTGCTGTCACCTAAACACAGTTTCAGTCTCTTTTAATTTACTTATCTTTAGAGCAAAGCATTAAAACAACAGCTGATTCCAACCTTTTTTACAAACGTGTAAGTACCACACTGTCCATTTAGACATTTAAGCAGATCTGAATATCAAGTACAATCTGTTTTACTGTGACTATGTTCACATATTTGTTTATCACCTGGGGTCTCGCTGGAAGTCCTTGCTCTTGAAGTATGTGTAGACAAAAGCTCCATTGATGCAGATGATGGTGAATACCAGGAAAAAGATGATGAAGTTCTTTGTGAAAGCTTCGTTATAGCTGTCGAAACGTCTGCTGGAGTTCATATTGTCCTCAGAGCTGGAGACACAAACACAAAACACAGGTTAAATGAGAATAAGAGCCTTCGTTGTTCTTTAGTAAATCAAACTCCTTAGCTTAGCTCTAAACATGCCTGCTGTAAGAGGAACAGGAAGAGCAGCAGTTCATTATATAACAATATATACAAATATAACAACATGTAAACTAATGAATGTTAACATTTTCTGGGATTTCTTTGTATACTACAGTGTTAGAAAAATAACATTCTATTTACAGTATATAATTGTTTTTATTGTTTTACGGTCTGATATAAAATATTAAAACAAACAAAACACAATCAGAAAATCTAGATGTGTTTTTCCGCATTTAGTTGAAGCTTCTCGAGGCTTTTAAAGGCCTTTTGAAGAAGAACACAGTCAGACAACGGTATTATTATATAAAAAATATAACAAAAAGTTAACATCTAAGGAAAGTTAACTTAAGTAAGAACGTTTTTTAAAACATTGCAACATTAAATCGTTTCACACTTCTTAACAGAAGAAACACTCAATATCAACTGCAGCGACAGACTCTCACCTGCTGACTCTCTGAATCCTCCAGCTGCCGGTCAGCTCCTTTATAATGTGTGTGTGTGTGTGTGTGTGTGTGTGTGTGTGTGTGCGTGTGTCTGTGTGTGTGTGTGTGTGTGTGTGTGTGTGTGTGTGTGTGTGTGTGTGTGTGAGTGAGTGTGTGTGAGGAGCATTGTGAACTTTTGATCATTAAAGTTAGTGAGGATGTTCCCCCGTAATCAAAATTTGCATTAATTTGCCGACTTTGAAATTAAAATGTATAGATGCATTCAGGATTATATTTACATTTGATTTAAAGTGTGTGTGTGTGTGTGTGTGTGTGTGTGTGTGTGTGTGTGTGTGTGTGTGTGTGTGTGTGTGTGTGTGTGTGTGTGTGTGTGTGTGTGTGTGTGTCTGTGTGTGTCTGTGTGTGTCTGTGTGTGTCTGGGGTTGGGCTGTTGTTAAGGTTTTGGCAACACAATATTTGTATTGCACTTAACATTTAATTAAACAGAGAACTTCTTCCACTTCCATTTTGTGCTTTATTTCTGCTAATGTACAAACCAGGCTTGCAAAGAACTTGAATAACATTTCCTTTTATTTCTTCCACAATATAATGTAGAGCTGATCCTGCTGAACAAAAAAGCGTAAGTATGATAAACCACCCCCTGTGTGTTATGTAGCTTTTTCTGCATGTAAACGGTCTGCAAAGTCACAAACCCTCAAAGTACACCCTGTAGCGAGTAAAACTCTAACACAGAAAATACCTGTCTATGCTGCCCCAGTACGCCTCGTTGGAGATTTTTCTTTTTCCATTTTTTTCTTCCGGGAACCAAGTGACGTAACGACGACCCAATGGACCAATTGGTCCAAATGGACCAATCCGTGGAGCTCCTCACACACCAGGATCCCTTGGCGTCACTATCAAACGCAGTGGGGGGACCTTTAGCGTCGATTTTCAACTATCAGGGAGTCCCATTGATTTGCATCTGATTCGCAACGTCCCGCCAAAACGGCACCCAGACCCCACGCAGCATTCTCATCTGTTTGTCATTACTGGTGTCATTTTCTGGTTGCTAACAAACGCCATTGTAAAACATAAACACTGATGTTCCGCTGTAACGGTGGTGGACTCATCAGAACAGAGTGGGCGAGCTGACCAATCAGAGCACAGTGGGCTCATAGGGAGGCGGGCAGGAGCTCCAACAAGCCGTTTAGGACAGAGAGTGAATACACATACTATACAGAGATGCTGGATGAGAAAACCAATGTGAGTTTGGAACATTGAACAATGTAAATCTATTCTAGTAGACCCAGCGACGTGCAGTCAGGGGAGGCAGAGCCTCTCCTGTCATACTCCAATGTAACGGAAAAACAACTAAAGAAAAACTAAATAGTAATAATAATAAAATGTCTCCACTGATCTGTGTTGTAAGCGTGATTTCTGTATGATTCCAATCGCTTTTTATAGTCAAAATCAGCAAATTTGCCGAGCTCCGCTACGGGAGCGATGAGAAGTGAGGCAGGGACGTGCTCTGCCTCACGTAAGCCCACAGTAACTGGCTGGAGCACGGGCACTAATTTAGCGCGGGCACTTATTTTGTGAGTGCGCTCAAGCCAGTTACTGTGGGGTAAGGTGAGGCACAGATGAGATCTGCCTCACCTCAGAATGCGTCACCCCACAGAAACTGGCTGGAAAGCGGACCCTAAGCGCATGCCTGTTACCATCTCACTGTAGGTCACCAATGTAATGTTTGTAGATCCCTTTATTACATTTATCCTCGCCATCCATAGTCTCTAAATAACTTATTTCACGTATTTATAATATTTAGGCCCGCTGGTCTCATCATACAACGGCAATGAAAAAAGCACCAGGAGAGGCAGCACTGAAGGGGGCGCACGTGAGCCCACAGGTTCTTGTTGCTACTGTTATTCTACGCAGAGACGGTAGACGCAAACAACAAACTACACTTTTGAAACTACAGGAAGATAAGGAGGACTTTTACAAAAAAGTAATAGAGATTGTTGTCCAGAAGGATAGCATGGACTTCATCTTCAAGTCAAGGTAAGACCACATTTCTAATGAAAATGGGATCTTACTAAGAAAGAACAATCCAATATTTAGATTTTGGGTATCCTTTTGTTGAACGGTCTGTTTAAAATGAATCGAAGCATCAGACTAAAAAAGCTTTTGAAAATAACCGAATATTTCGATTAAGGTCAAAATATAATATTTGTAAATCTGACTCAGTGAGTCAGTGCCTCACCAGCCATGAACCTCACCGCACGTCACTGAGTAGACCTCAACAATGGAATTATGATCAGTAGAAATGGCCATGACATGGGACCTTTAATGGTTAATTGCAGCCTTGATTTAAACATGCAAATCCCAGGTCTTGATTGACTTCTTGCACTATTTTTATTTTTACATTTGTTTTATTGTTTTATGTCTTATTATATATTATGTTGCATTGTTGGAGGAGCTTGGGACTTGAGTTTTTCATTGCCACATCTCCACTGTAGCTGTGCATCTGACAATAAAGCTTTGAATCTTTGAATGTACAGTCTCTCTCAGTGTATCGCCTGTTTGGACGTTCTCCTCGGTCGTACTTTCATCCTCTCCTCCACTGTCCTGCATCCTTTAAAGCAGAAATGCGTCCGGATTTTCCCGCGGAACTTCTTGTCTCTGAGGCCGTAGATGAGAGGGCTGAGAAGACGAGGAAGAACGTTGGTGAAGACGAAGGTGCTGAAGAAGATGTCTGTTCTCTTGTGGGGCCAATTGGTGACGAGGAAGAGGTTGATGAAGGGCGCGATGAAGGACAGCAGGCAGAGGAGCAGCTGGACCCCGTGGAGCAGGATGGTGTTTCGGGCGTTTCTCATCGAGGCTCGACTCACACCTGAAACCCCCCGAGCTGCGAGGAGCACGTTCAGATAGGTGAAGACCACCGTGAGGAAGACGAAGGAGAACATGAGCACCTGAGGAGGAAGAGGGGAGTATTTATTAACAGAGATGGCAAAAGAACACACATCCTTTACTCAAGTAGAAGTACAGATACTCATGTTTAAAAATACTTTGGTAAAAGTACTGACTAAACTTCTTTACTCAAGTAAAAGTAAAGAACTATGGGCTTCGAAATGTACTTAAGTAAAAAGTACCCATGAGGATCCTGCTGACGCTGTCAACCCGATCCAGGCTGTTTCTTCCTCATTACGGCTGGCTCTTCCGGAGAGATTCACCGGAGACTCCATGAACTGCAGAGCCTTCCTCGTGCAGTGCGATCTACATTTCCAACACAACCCAGGGGCTTTTTCATCAGACCATGGTAAAGTGGCGTTTATCGTGTCCCATTTAACGGGAAGAGCTGCAGCCTGGGCTACTGCAGAATGGTCCAGAGACTCCGAGCTTGGCTATTCATTAGCCGACTTCATAGACACTATGAGTTGCATATTTGACCACTCGTCGCCTGCTACAGAGGCCAGCAGAAGACTTCTTCAGATGCGCCAGCACAACCGTCAGGTGGTTGATTATGCCATCGAGTTTCGCACAGCGGCAGCGGACAGCGGGTGGAATATTCCAGCTCTTCGTGATGCTTTTATGACTGGACTTTCAGATCCGATAAAGGACCAGCTGGCTCCTCTGGAGGTGCAACGGGACCTGGAGTCTCTCATCGCTGTGTCCATCCGGATCGACAACCAACTTCGGTAAAGGGAGAGAGAGCGCCGGCGCACCGGTGACAGACATCCCAGTTTCCAGGGCTTCCCTCAGAGAACCCTTCCACCAGGAAGAATTTTCCAGCCCACGACTTCGAAACCACCGGAGGACAGCGCCTCCACTTGACTCAGACAAACCCATGCAGCTGGGCAGGACCAGGCTTTCTCTGGAGGAGAGGCAGCGCCGTCTGCGGGAGGGCTGCTGTTTCTACTGTGGCCAGCTGGATCACCAACTCGCCTCATGTCCGGGAAAAGACCGAGCTTACCAGCCAAGAGGAGGGAGCTGGTGAGCAAGCTTTCCACAGACTTTCCTCCTCATCCTTTACCCAGGTAAACATTTTCATAAACAATCAGGCCATTGACCAAGGGGTGCTAATAGACTCAGGGGCTGACAAAAGTCTTATGGACTGGGGCATAGTCAAACAGCTAAAGATAAAAACTGTTCCGCTATCTCGCCCTATTAACGCCAGTGCCTAAAGGCCCGGAGACACGAAGCCGATTATTGGCGTCGGTGGGCGTCAGGCCGGCGATGAGCGTCGACACGCCCTACTCAGATTGGTGTGTCCCGCACCGTCGGGTTTTTTCAACCGTGCCGACGCCTTTTCGGCCGAAAAGTAGGGCAGTCGGCCAAAAGGCAGTCGGCAAAAGAAATCACTCTGATTGGCTGTTCAGCTAGCGAATCAGTGCATGAGAAGCGAAACGGAAGTGAGGCACCCAAACAAACTATTAAGAAGGCAAATCTGAGATTTCATTTAACTCCAGCTCTCGACACAGGTTCGGGAAAGGCTTCTCTATGTAGAGTGAAAATGGAACGCACACGCTATTTGTTGTTTGTTTATATCACGCAGTCTGTTCTTCTCTCGGTTATTACGCAGTCTGTCTTCCGGTTGTTGCCTCTTTTGAATGACG